GGAGATTGGTACCCAGGACAACCAATTGCAATACACTACCTACCTAGCCTTGGTGATTGGTTCAGGGATGGGCACATGACCCAGGATAGCCAATCGGAATACAGTACCTACCTGGCCACGGTGATTGGTACCCAGGACAGCCAATCAGAATACACTTTCTACTTGTGCATGGTGAATTTTTTAGGGATGGACACATGACCCAGGACAGCCAATCAGAATACACTTCCTACCTGGCCATGGTGATTGTTTCAGGGATGGGCACATGTCCCAGGAGACCTAATCAGAATACACTACCTGTCTGACCATGGTGATTGTTTCAGGGAGGGACACATGATCCATGTAGAGCCAATCCTTGCACCTTTACTGGAGCTATGAGGAAAGCCAACTCTTAACTCTGGAGCTGTTTTAGATACTATCTGCCTAAAGAATGATGGATCTCAAGATGAAGGAGACACAAATTAAGAATCCATAATAAATTATTCATCTTGTGTGTATTTCTCCTATTACTATTTCCTGGAAAATTCAATCTTTTTTTAAAGATTCAATTGTCATTTTCTGGTGAAATGTTTCTTGACACCTCCCTCCCCATCCACACGCACCTCCTCCAGTGGGGTCTGTGCACTCTCTTCTCATTCCCACGGCACCTTGTATACATCCCTATTACATCATTGTTCGGTGACTTTGTTTATTGTCTGCTCCTCCCCTTTGCCCACTCCTTGGTGTGTGGCATTATTGATGTTAGTGACTTTGCTTTATTCGTCTCTATAAATCAACGTCCTAACACAATGCTCATTACATAGTAGGTGCACAGTAAGTATGAGTTGAGTGGATGGGTGTAGATAGAATTCTAGAAAAACTTTCTGTTGATCACCTTGCATGAAAAGACACACTCTTTAGGACACAGACACATATTTTGGGGGAATGTAGGAGTTTTGGTAGGTAAGAATTTTGATCCAAGTACCTAACAGCTTAAAACAAAAAAGCGCAAAGGTACTTCATTGAGATTACACTTGATCCTATGATAGTAAGAGAGAATTCAGAGTAGGAAAGACTTAAGAAAAAGAAGAAATAACGTTGGAAAACATGACTTTATAGACTTAGAGAGTAGAGGCAGAGAAACTGAGGGGTGATATTATTTAGGAAAATAGGTTAGATAAGGAAGAAAATCAAAGGAACCAAATGGGAAAAGGTGGAAAGTATAGAGGTAGACATGGAAGGCAGGGGTAGGGAGGTCCTCGATGTTAGACCTTTGAGCTTTCAATAAAGATTTATTTTCCATTGTGTGTCAGGCTGTATGCTAGGTTATTGGGACATTGAAATGAATGTCATAGTGCCTTCCCAATTGTGGGGAAGATCTAGATTTATAAGGGTGGTAAGAAAGCAACGGGAGGATGAGAAGAGGTGTGTGTTGGGGGAGATCGCCCACTTTCCTGAATAGGCACTAACTTCCATTCTTGACCAGACTCGTAGGAAGTATGGCTGTTGAAATTCTGTCCTCAGGCTGGGAAAACGCTCCACTCTCTCCCCATTCCTGTTCCTTTCTCTCTGAATCCTGTAATCCTTTGCTCTTGCCGAAACAAACAGGATTTTTATTCTACAGGCTTTTCCTCCTGGTTAGGATATGATGGAGACCATGGTCTCATCACCCCCGCCCCCTCAGCAGAACAAGATAACCTCTATCAGAAAACTGTCAGGTCCCAAAGCAGATTCCCAATCCATATTTGCTGGAGATGTTACTTCTATAAATCCTGGCGCTCCATTCCACCTTGACTGTCCCAAATAAAGCTCGCGTATGGCCTTGGCTACTCTTTCCAACCTAAGTCAGAATGGGAGGGTGTGCCCTGGCACCAGGATCCCATCATCCATACTGCACTCTTTCAGAACCCTTGAGGATCTGAGAGGGGAGAGGCTTATAGCCACCTCCGCGAGCTACAGGACTCCAAGCAGGTGGGAATAATTTGGGCATTAGCTGTGATGGGCAGTAGGGAGACCCCTGGACATGGACACCAACTGTGGGAGGGTCTGGGCATTGCCAAATCCAGCTGGCAGGTAGATAGTGTGTCAGGTGAGCAGCCCTGGGGGCACGAGTCCCTGCAAGGTAAGAGGCCGGGGAGAGGGAAGTCCAATGGAAAAGGATGCACCTGGGATCTCCAGGCGCTAGCTGCGCCTGTCTCTAGGCTGGGTGGGTTCTGGCGCCACCGCAAGGGGGAGACCGAGGGTATGGGGGGGTGGGATAGAAGGTTGTGCTCGGTTGCTCTTGCGTCCCGGAGCCAGCCGGCACAGCCTGAGGGAGGGCCTTGACGGCGCCCTGTCCAAATGGCATGTGGAAGGCGTGTTGAGCTCAGATGGGCAGCCTGGGGGCAGTAGGTCTTGGGGTGGCGGGCGGCGGAGGAGAGGGGAGACCCTCGCGGGAGGCACGCGTCCTGCCGCAGCTGGTGGTTGTTCTGAGGGGCGGGCTGTGCCTGGCGCGGCTCTGGCTGGAGGGCTCTGGCGCCGCCGCCTGGGGGCGTCGGGCGGAGGGCCCTGCGGCTGGGGTGGCTGGAGACCGCCTCCCAGCGCTCCGGCCCGGTACCTGGCTAGGCGGGGAGGGAGAGGGGCGCGCGGCGGAGAGGCGGGCGCCGGGCGCGTGAGTCACTCCGCTCCCCGGGGTGCGGAGCGGGACATCGCCTCCCGCCTGGGCTCCGCATTTCGTCTCCAGCTTCACCGACCAGCCGCCTTTCCGTCTAGGTGAGAGCCAGGTAAGTTTCTCGTCTTTTGATGCCTC